TAATTTCTTGAGATGTGCCAAACAATATACACAAATGCAGAAGCCTTTTTCGTGAATTGAATCTCCTTCTGTCTTTGTATAAGCCAGAAATATGGCAGATGTTGAGCTGTAAAGCAAACTATTACACTCAGAATGCACTGCATAATTACGAAACACCTCGTAATGCAACAATGTATAAAATCGCATTGCATAGCCATTTTTTGCTCACGTGTAGTGAAGGTTCTGCAATGCATACTGAAACTCTGGGTTTCAACAAGAGATTGATTGTATGAAAAGAAAAGTGTGTGTGTGTGTTTCCTTCCTCCTTTTATTTTCATGCTTATATGTGAAGCACGTTGTGAGATGGCTACCATTAGAAACCATTTGGCTGAAGCTGAAAGTTAAAAGGCTGTGTGAAAGACAAGAATCAGCAAAAGATAGTGGAAATGTTGTTCAGATTTAGACCGTAATAAATACAATATCCACACACGCTCTCACCACATTCATCTTAGTTAGGAGAAGCTGTTCTAGCATATGCAGCCTGTTGGACAGATTTCTCTAATGTTGAGGACTGTTTCAGTAATCACAGCACATGCACCACGTCCATTCATCATCATTACTACAAAACCTGCTGCTCCAGGCAGGTATTTCAACCTGCTGAAGGAAATATTGCTAGTCCTCTCTCACACTTTTTTTTTTTTTTTTTGCAATGAATACTAGACTCTTTATTTGGGATATGTTGTTTCTGTGGAAGCTTGTTTCTGCCATGGGATAAAAAAAAAAGTCAGAATAGCAAGATATAAACTTACAATTCTTAGAAAAGCATCAAAATAAGATATTAACCTGAAGCTGTGAGAAAAAAAGTCAGAATTGTGAGATAAAAAGTCGCAATTACCTTTTTTATTCCTTCACTGAAACAAACAAAAACAGAACCAGAAATGTTTGTGAAAGAAGTTTCTTCTGCTCACCAAGGCTTCATTCATTTGATCAAAACTACAGTAAAATCAGATATATTGTGAAATATTATTACAATTTAAAATAAATTTTTTTCTATTTGAATATATTTGAAAATGTAATTTATTTCTGTTATATAAAGCATAAAAATTAAAATTTTTCAGCATCCTTACTCCGGTCTTCAGTGTCACATGATCCTTCAGAAATCATTCTATGCTGATTTAGTGTTCAAGAAATGTTTTAAATTTTTAAAAGAACAGCATCTTTGATCAATTTAATGCATCCTTGTTGAATAAAATGATCAGTTTTGTTTAAAACCAAAAATTCAAAAATCCCCAAACATTTGAATGGTAGTTTATCATTATGCTTTTTAAATGTATCATTATATGTCGTTTTGAATAACTGATGCAACAGAAAAAATAAAACAAATAAATTGCGCACAACGAGACAAAAATTAATTAAGAAAGTAACTTTTGATTTCATGTTGACTTTCAGTTTCTCAGTGCATAAACTCATAAATTGCACATTTTGTAAAATAAACACACCTACATTGCAACATTAATTTGAGATATTAACACTTTGTTATAATGTGGCAGTGAACAGGTTTTCTTGTTAGGCGGTGATGTTAAATCAAGCGTTTAATCCCTGGATTTGTTATGAAAGCCTCATAAGTGATGAAGTCTTCATTAGTAATATTTTATACATCTTCTTTCCAAGATCTGCTCTCAAGAACTCAACTTTGCCTGCAGCGCTTAGAAACAAATAACAATGTGCAAACAAAAACGCATTTAATCTCTCATAATTACCCCTGACACATAATCCTTTTATACGCTTTGCTGCCTTTTTGCCCAAGGAGAGTTTTAATGAATGTCTAAACATGTTCAGATTCTGCACACACACACAAAGAGAGAGAGACTGATATCTGATATTTTGACACATATCTGTTTAATTCAGTCTGCTGAATATTTGTTCTGGATTTTTCTGTTTACAGATGTCTAGTTGTTTGACAGTGTTGATGCAGAATAGATTTGCTGGTATGAATTGAATGTTTGGAATCCTAACCTTTGGGTGCTTGCACTTGAATCCAGTTTAACCTGAAAAGGCTGGCCTTGCCCAAAGAGTCAGAAGCCTGTAGTCTCCTCCTCTGGAGGTCTTGTGGAAGCATGCGGTAATAATGAGCTCTTAATGAGCCTGTCAGTCTGACTGTCAAACAGCCGCTTCTTCATCAGGAAACCTGAGAGGGAGGATAAAAAGTGTAGAGTGAAAAATTAAAGGGAGATCATTAAAGAGTGACTCAACAAAGAGTTGACATTTGATTTCTGCCAATATGAGATCATATATAAACAAGCAAGCACATTTGCAGTGTCCTGCTGTAGTGGGCACTTTTGAGTCACAATTTATCCATTTGATAACCAGACACTTTCTCAGGTGATACTAAACATGATACTTTAGGAAAATTTACAACATTGAATTTAGTTTAAAATACCATTTAAAATATGCACAGTGCTTATATATAGTAGAAATATTTAAAATAAAATAAAACAAAACAAAACTCAAAAGTAATCTGTAGTATAGTAAAAATGTAATAAATTACACAGACACACACAAATATAGCTGAACAGTAGTTGTTTACTTGCATGTCATATTGTCATTAAATTATGTTTTATTAACAAGGTTCGGGAGGAGCACGATCAGATAATCAATCAGTCTGGCCCAGGTGGAGCTCGTCATAATTAATGATTAATATGATTTAATATAAAATTATGAAGCATGTATAGGTCCAAACACCATTTTTGTTCATGTCCCACAACTCTGGTCACAATGTTGAGATACGTAAAATAAGCTAATTTAATTCAAATGTGACATTATTTCAAATGGAATTGTTTAATATACATATTAATTTACAGCATCTTATTTTTTTGTATTATTTACTGATCATTTTTATGATTTTTTTTTAGCTAAATATGCCTGTCCCATACTTTTGAGTCCTTACCGCAACAATGAAAAAGGCAAACAAGTCTAGTTTCTTTGGAAACAGAAATTTGCACATGAGCACATTGCTGACAGATTGGGCCACCTCACTACCTCACTCATAAGATCCCAAAAATATAAAGTAAATATAGTTTCTGTGTCAGAATTTATTGTGTCATCATACAGCTTAGTAATTCTGTACTTTGAACTACATTTTAAAAATAAATGTATATTACGGTTTAATTCATGTATATTAAGATGCTAAGAATCAAAACTAATGTAGTAGACCTGGCTAGCTGCCAATTAGCTGCAATATTAGCAAAAATGTCATTTCCGCAACATGTCTTTACCGCAGCAAATTTAGGTGTTGCGGTAAAAACCTTGTGTTGCGGTAGAGACAAGTTCAAGGTTTACTGTATATTAAGTTACAAATATTCAGTCTATTGTAAATTATATTTAAACCTGACAATTATATGTAACCCTAGATGAGACCAAATTCATCAACAATAAGATCAAAGAAATGCAGAGAGGAAATGAGAAAAGACCCAGAGATATGCAGATTATCTGCAGAAGGAAAAATAACGTTACAAAAAGAGGAAGGAAAATGGGCAGATAAAGAGTGTCTCCCAGCTGACAAAAAGAGAGAAAAGTCTGAAAGGAAGGCAGTGGAGGATAAATAAAAGAAACCAGAAGGCAAAACACAAAGTTCTGCATGCCTCAAATCAGTTTGTTGCAACAAACACATCAACTTTAGGAGATAATATTTGTTAAACATGGAAAACAGTTTGAGTTCTTTACTGCAAAACTACTACTATCTTTTACACATGCAATACCTTCTGTTTTCGGTTTATTTTACTGTTGTTCTGTACAGTAGCCTGTTTTTGATTTTATGGCACTTTAACATTGTGTCCTTACCGACACAAGATGTCATTACCGCAGCTCTGCTTTATTTATTTATTTATTTTTTCATATTTTTATTTTTATTAATATTTTAATACTTAAGTTGAGATTATTTACACATTGAAATTGCAACATCTGGCATAAAAAGCTAAATATGTTATCTTTAGTGTGTATGGAAACAATTGACATCTAAGGTTACTGTCTAAATTTTACATGGCATAGAGAAAACCATGAAATCCCCTATTTTATGTTATTTCTTAAAATCAATATTTACAAGATCACACTTGCTCTGTGTTGCAAGGCATTTGATTGGCTGTTCGCTACTGATGTCACACATTCATGTGTACGTGCTCCACAAACTCAGGATCAAGAGTTGACAAAGAAAGTTGATGATCACAATCATGGTAGCAACAAAGCTGGATTGGAGTGGTTTGGTTTTGTCACGCCACTCTGCTTTATTTGTAATTTTTTTTTTTCATATTTTTTTAATATCAGTATTTACAAAACTGCACAAACTTTGAAAGCTATGGAAATATTAATTTTTTATAGAAATTAAAAAAGAAAAAAAACATATATAATGAACATTATTGTAACAGGTAAAGACATTTTGTAAGAAGAAGAGTTGAAAAACATAAAAAATAAACATGTTCCAGATTAAAATCTTAATGACTCCATGCAATTTTGTTGACCTTTTTATATGTATTACATGGTTAAAATTAAAATTCACAGGGGTTGATTTTTCTACATTGTGGAGAGTCAAAAGTGCCCGTAGTTGCAGAAACACCCTTAAATAAGATGAAGTAAGTTAATGCTAAACCAAAGCACCACACGTGACAAAAACATTGGGTATTTTTTTTTATAAGCGTTCTAAAACATTGACCGTTAAAACAAAACCACATCGGCACCTCAGTTTTTAAACATACTGCATGATACACACGACCCAAACGATTAACTAAACAAACAGTCTAGCTGTTAACAAACAGGTTTAAGTAAATAAGCCAAAGCACAATATATAATAACTTTAACTTATTAAATGAATAAACACATAGAACTTAGAAAATAGGTATGTCGCCTCAGGGCAGAGGTGCCAGATTTATGTCTGTTGTAAACTAACACTTTTGCACATTTATCGCAAATTACGAAGTTTAACTCTTTTCCATTTTTTCAGTGACAATTGAGAATTGTTTCCAGATGTCTGACTTGCCTTGCTTTGCTTTTGTCAAGTAAACAGCCGCTTTAATTTTCTTCTCAACTTAATGTGTTGACTCCATTTCTATTACACGCCAAATCCCACCATTCCCTGCTGGTCTCCCACAAAATTTAAGCAAAGGTAAAACCGCCCGCTCCCGCGAGATTTGCGTTGGGTCCTGCGGGAGCCCGAACCCAGTGCAACCCTCTAGTTATATATACGGGCTATATTTCGAGCTCGGAGCCCTCCTTCAAGACAGCATGCCAAATATGCTTACGATTTGCTAAATCCTATTATACGTAAGTGCAAACCCGTGAACAAGTGTCAGAGAACTTTGACCCTGCAAATGTGTTGTTATTAACATTCAGTTTTCAAAAGCTACTTCTAAACTGTAGGTCAGAGGGGTTTGTTTGACAGAGCCGATCCTCCCTATATGCAAAATACGCAAGCTGCGTAGGGCCCCCGAAACACCAGGGGCCCCCCTTGCTCTCAAAGATGATTTAATTTTAGTTTCGTTTTTTGAATTTGGCCAGCGGTTATGAAAACATGAATGATCATTTCTTTTAATGCGGTGCGCTGTCTCCCTTTCTACTTAAAAATCAGTCAAATCATGTAATGTGAATGTCGTACAGTCTTGCTCGAGACTAAAAAAAACGAGTTGAAAGCGTACCGAGCCGCGGAAAAGACACTGTTTCTCAAGCGCTTTCCGCGAGCGTGATTCGAGACGGAGTGAAACACGGACAAATGCGTTTCATTCATTCGTTCATAAGGCACTGTTGTTTGACAAAAAAAGTTTGGGAGTAACATGGTCACAAACATGTGATTTGATTGCCTTGAAACAAGTGTATGAGTCATTTGAGCTAATGGGGCAAAGATGCTAAACGCACAAATTTTCAACTTAGTGGAGCTGCATACACAGATTCGTGACCTGGGAAGCTTAACGGTGCGTCTGCAACATGCTGTTTCATCCAAGGCTGTATAGGTTTGATTTATGCATTGGTGGGGACATAACAGCAGATAACAGATGTTTAATTGTTTGATCAAAATTATTGCTAGAGACAATTTAGTAGTCGCTGGATATTGGTAGGGACATGTCCTCAGCGTACCTACTAGATTTTACACCCTTGCAAAGAAGAGACACCTGCTTCCAACACCCTCCAGAAATAACAGTGGGGCTGTGAAGGAATGAGCAAGCTAAGGATATGTTCTCCTTGAAGCCTCCCCAAATGCTCCTCCTAGACCTGTAGATGACCCATGAAAACAGCAAAACAAATACAGAGTGAGATGAAGGGTGGAGAACTGGATAATAGGATGGTGGAAGGGATAGAGAGGTGATTTTCCGAACAGTAAACCTCCTTGGGGAAGAGAAAACATACTCAGGCAGGTCTAGGCACAGAATAATAATTTCTCAGCAAATAGAGCTCTTTGTAGCTGAGCAACTTCTTTAACTTAGCTTCAGTCTGTTTCTCTGTACTCTTTTGACTAGTTTGACAGCTAATGTTTCCTAGAATTCAATGAGAGGCTTGACGCACATATGCGGTTTTTGCTTCACCCACACATATAGTATGTTCTTTCAAGGGTCAAAACCTTCAATGTCAAGTTTTTATTTCTTTCGTCAAGCTTAGAACTCAACATATACTTGCATTAAAGGAATATGAATTAAAAAAAAAAAAAAAAAATTCAAAAGTTTGGAAAGGCCTTTTTTTTTTTATCGAAATACTTGATGGTTAGACCACATTAATTGTTTCTGGAGTCATTTAATTTAAAGTTTTCTATGAAGGTTCAGCAAGGATGCATTAAATTGATCAAAAGTGACAGTAAAACTTTTATAATGTAGCAAAAGATTTATATTTCAAATAAATGCTGTTCTATTCATCAAAGAATCCCAGTTTCCACAAAATTAAGTAAAGTTGTCAACATTGATGATAATAATAATAATAATAATAATAATAATAATACATGTTTCTTAAAATCATATCAGAATGATTTCTGAAGATCATGTGACACTGAAGACTGGAGTAATGATGCTGAAAATTCAGCTTTGATCACAGCAATGAATTACATTTTAAAATATATTCAAATAGAAACTGTTATTTTAAACTGTAATAATATTTGACAATTTTACTGTATTTTTATCAAACAAATGCAGCCTTGTACATAATTTTGTACAATGAAGGAAATTCATAGTGTATACAGGCTTTCAAGCCCCCCCCCAAACATATAAAAGCACCATAAAAGTAGTCCATATGACTGATACATTATATCCTAAGTCTATAACATAAAAAATTCTAAATCTAATCTAAAAATCTATTTATTTATTTCTTTATTAATTTGACTATTTTTAAAATACTTTTTAAAAGCAACAGCCCCCAACACTGTCCATTATGGTCTTGCAAGTTGCTTTTTGGTGCATCACTGCTGTAGAAATACTCATTTAGCCAGTTCATGAAAAGACAGATTTGCATGACCAAAATACAGCATCACAGGAATGATAAAATGGATAAAGCATCAATTACACAACTAATGCAAAGCTTTCTGTCTTTGTTGAAGGAATATGACATTGCCCTTTACTCCATCGCATCATCATCACGATTTGCAAATTCATAAGGGATGAACTCTGAGAAAGCAGCAAAACAAACCCAGTGAGGTCAGCTGTGATGAGTTGTGAGTTGTGGTTGATACTGTCATACGATCCCGTAACTCTTTGTCAAAACCTAATGTTACCATCAGTGCTATAAATGTACACATTCAGCAGCCATGTGTTCTGTATCTGCTGGAGTGCTGGAAACTATTAGACTCTTATTGTCAGATTATTTACTCTATATGTGATATATGGGTCGCTCTCAGGAACTGAAATAAATGTTCATGCTGAAACGAGAGGCTAGATATCCATGACATTTTGTTCCATCACTGTCCACATTATAAAGGACACAGTCCAAGGGCACACGGTGTACATCTGCAAATATACACAACACCAGCTGGCCTATGAGGACGAGAGAGCACTTTATAGACATCCATCTCTGTTGATTCAAGAGTGGAGAGCACCAGCCAGGCCGTATATGACCTCACAACACATGTGACAAATGTCTCTTTTAATCTCTCATTTAATGTTATCAGCCCGTGACCCGCTGTAAAACGATTCAGAGCTGTATGCTGTAAAGTAATGTGGCTCGTATAATGTTAATGAGAGGGGTTCGTGACAATTCATTCTGCTCATGTTAACCCTGATCGTGTTGTTGGCTGTGAAGTTCGTCTCAAATTTTGTTTACAAGGTTTGTGAACTCTTTGAGTCCATAAAAGCTTTTTGGGCCTTATTAGACAGACAGAAGATTACACTGTATGGGCCCTATTTTAACGATCCAAGCGCATGGTCTAAAGCGCACGACGCAGGTGCACTCAGGGCGTGTCTGAATCCACTTTTGCTAGTTTAATGACGGGAAAACGGTCGGCGCGCCCGGGCACATGGTCTAAACGGGTTGTCCCTATTCTCTTAATGAGTAATGGGTGTTTTTTTGGCGTAACGTGCAATAAACCAATCAGAGTCTCATCTCCCATCCCCTTTAAAAGCCAGTTGCGCTCGCGCCATGGCAGGTTCGCTATTTACATGGCGGAATGTAATTTTTCATATTTAAAAATGTTTGTGGGCTGCTGCGCGTCCCTGTGTGTGTAATAAGCAAAGTGTACGGGCGTTGTGCACCTGCCTATAGGCTCATATTACTCATATAACGCGCTCTTTAAATAACAAAGAAAAAATATTGCGTCAGACTTTAGACCAGGTTTGAGTTGGTCTTTGGCGCAGTCTATTTTCAGTTCCTCTAAGTAGCAACGCGCCAACAATGCGGCTGAACACACCTCATTTTTAGACCAGCACGCCCATGGGTGCACAAATGGGTGCAAATGCATTTGCTATTTAAACAACGCGGCGCAGGACGGGAAAATGAGAACTGCGTCGGGCTGAAACTAGCAAAAACACTTGCGCCGGGTGTATGATAGGGCCCTATATGAATTATATGTTTATGTCTAGATGAGTAGCAGAAGATTAGCTTGTTTAAGATTAGATTATCAGGATAGAAACTTAACTTATCAGCAATAGAGTTTGCATTATGTTTGGGTTTGTAATTAAAAATAAATTATTATAAGTATTTTTAAAAAGGTATATTATTCTATAAAGTTAAAATACAAAAAGTAAAAATAAATAAATAAATAAATAATTTAAGCTTAAGTAATTAAAATAATAATTATGAATAATTTTTGCTGATATTATTGTATCTGGGTCAGATGGTTAAATTGGTCAAAGATATATATATATATATATATATATATATATACTTTTCTTTTGTTCCCATGTTTGTGTTTAATGTTTAAAATGTATTGTGATCAGAAAACTGATATGTTCATGTTTTAATTACCTTTTTGTAAATACATCTGATTTAATTCTATTTCTCCCATTTGCTGCATGTCACTAAACCCTTGTATGCACACAAGCACTTCAACCAACTGCATGTGTATCTATATTTTGATTAAAATTTGTTTAAGCATTTTTCATGTATTGTGCAATATTGTTTTTCTACTTAAACTATTTATATGCTATTTATTAAAATTACATAAAGTTTATATAAAATAAACTTAAGTTGGAAATGTTTATATTTATTTTTTGGTTGAGATGCATCTTTTTGTCATGTTATTAAACCTTTCAAGCATGCAAAAAGTTTATTTTTAACGTTTATACATTTCTTGTTTTGTATTCCTGTATCTTTATTGTCCTGCCTTTGATTGTCCTGACAATCTTACTTTTCCCCACATATCAAGTGATACTCTCTATGTAATGCAAATATCTAGACATCCTGTTTGCCACAGGACCTGTATAAAAATACATAAAAAATATCTTGGCCCACTCATAAAAAAATGTCCCCATCAATTAAAGAGATGTGTCATGTCCTTTCATGTTTAAATTATGACAGCAAATTTTATTTATTTATTATTTATTTATTTATTTCTTAGCACATCAAGAAGGTGTAT